AAGATCTTTCCTCGTCATATCCTCACACCTTAAACACACACTTACACTCACATGCCACCACACTACTACGATAAGTGGAGACCGGTCGGGAACTTTAGAGCTTGTCCCGGCTGATGCCCGGTGGCTCCGCTTGGTGGGAGATACGCGGTTGAGGGAAACTCGCTATTAGATTGCCCGGATTTCGACATCCTGTGGGAAAGATCACAACCACTATATGCGAAAAAGAAGGGAAGGGGGGAAAAAATAAAAAAGCAAGGAAAAAGAAAAACATGCACGTACTTACAGGAATAATGACCTTAGCGTTGACGCCGCCTGGAAACCACTAAATCAATCAATTCGAGCGTCGAAGTCAATACTTGTCCCCTACCCCTCTGCACACCGCGCGGCGAACGCCAGTATTCACGACAGCACACGACGGAGACCAATCTCGGAGCTAAAGAGCTATGATTTAAAAAAACGCTGCACTGCACTTTACGGGACTAATGGCTTACCGGTCTGCGCGCCCAGAATCACTTATTAATAATTAATCGATTAATAGAACAAAAGCAGTATGTAAATGAAAAATAAATAAAATAAATTAAATAAAATAAATAAATAAATAATAAATAAATAAATAAATAAATAAAAATAAATAAATAAATAAATAAAAAATAAATAAATAAAATAAATAAATAAATAAATAATAAATAAATAAATAAATAACATAAATAAATAAATAACATTAAATAAATAAATAAATAAAATAAATAAATCAATTAAATGGGAGATGTCAGTGGGGTAGACCCTGCCACCTCCCCGAGATGTATCACGCACTACTTGTAGGAGGGGGTCCACTGCGGCCGAAGCGTGCTGAGCGCGCGTTGGCGCGCAGGTGACGAACGCGGTGGCGGGCTGCGGAGTGCGCCAAGACGGGGGAACCGCCCACGCTGCGCGTGCCGGCGGCATCCCGCTGCTGGTGGCGCTGCTCGTCGGCCGAGCGGCGCCCATGCTGGAGAGTGGCGCGCGTGCTGGGCGAGCGCGCGCCGAGCGGGAGTCGAATGCGCGTCATCGAGGAGCGTACGGCGTGCGCTTCATCTGGTCGCTGCTCAAAACCCGTCGCCCGCGTGCAGGCCAACGCCGCCTGGGCGCTCTGCCCCTGCATCGAGAACGCGCAGTTCGCGTCACGCTCAGCTCGCTCTCTTTCTTTCTTCTTTTTCTCTCTTCTTCCTTTTATACTCTTTTTTGTGCTTCTTCCTTCTCTTATTTCTTTCTTTTTCCTTCCCTTTTCCCTTCTCTCTTTCTTTTATCTCTTTTTCTTCCTTCCCTCTTTCTTCTTTCCTTCCCTTTTTTCCCTTTCTTTCTTTTTTATTTTGTTTTTTTTTCTTCCTTCCCACATTTCTTTCTTTCTTTCTCCTTCCCTTTTTTCCTTCTCTCTTTCTTTTATTCTCTTTTTTAAATCATCCTTTTCTCTCTCTCATTATTTTCCATCTCGCTTTCTTCCATATTTTCTTTCCCCTTCCTTCCTTTCTTCTTTCTCGTCTGATTCAGCAACTTCTGCATCTGAATTTATTCCCCCTTACGTCACATGCAGTTTTTTGACTAAAATACATTATAATGTCAGCTTCAGATTTTACCTCCAATATATTTTTTTCTCCTTCTCACATTTTCATAATTTTTTTCCAACTATCTTATGACAATACCTTTACATTAGGGTGTAGAATCCTCCCGCCCCCTGAAAATTTCAAAAGGTGAACCTGTTGCCCCATCAATAAAACAAAATAATTTCAAAAAGTTTAAATGGCAAAAGGTCCTAGAGGAGCCAGAAATAGGTTACCCCTTTTGTCTTCAACTTGCCCACACTATTCACATATTTCTATAACTTTTATTTGTGTTATACGAAAAATCTTGAAAATGACAGATAGGGACAACACAAAAATTTTTCAGTGACACCGAGCACACCCGAGGATTGTTTTTTTTTTTTTGTTTTTTTCAGAGGGATATACTTTCTGTAAAAATTTATAATATAAACAAATGATATATTGAATAACTTTTCTTTGTACAGAAATTAGTGTTTTGCTAAAAAGCATGTTATATAAATTGAACATTTCAAGACTTCTCAAGTCTTTTTCCCTTTCTGGACACAGAAAGTATTTTAACGTACGAATACTGTTTGTGTCTTCATCTATCTTGTCTTTCTTGAAACTGCACAAGAAGTGCACAACGAATTGAAGACGGCTTTCTGATTTTTCATAGGCTATAGCCAATCTTCTAAGGCCACTTAAATTGCAAACTCCAGTAGAAACACAAATATTTTACAAGCTCAAATATTTTAAAAGTAGTGGAGTTATAATAAAAGAATTTTTACTCCCGTAGAGTCATTTGTAAACCTCATTATTATACACCATAAAGTGTGTTTTGTAAACTTGATCATTTTGTAACTATTATTTTTTTCTACAAAATGATGTTAGATACTCTTTTTAATCTTGGGATTGAAAGATCATTATTATGAAAACTGTCTTAATGAACAAATAATATTAATTCAATTAAAATTAAAATACTTAAATGTGAAATGAAAAAGTATTAAAGTGAAACAAAGTTTTAATTATTAATATTTAAAATTACAGAATCAAACATTTCCAATTTGAAAAAGGTAACTCAGATTTTGTATTTCATCATCCTATTTTTCTTTTCTCCCCTTTTTTAGAGAAAGAAAGAGATTCCTTCAAATGGTGGGGATCTTAGGGCAGCATGTCTGCTATTTTTTGAGAAATAATTTTGCAGCACATAATTTTGCAATTTTGTTTAGCAGCATTCTGTTAGTCTAGTTTACAAATTTCAAATTCACGGAGTAATTGTCAGAAAACCAAGCAGCCTCTTATCATATGAGAGGAGTTAAAGATTTTGTTACATATCCAGGAAGACTGGAAAAATTACAAAAATAATGAATAAATTTTGATTTTCACTGAAAAATGTAAGAAATTGATAATATTAATCCTTAATTTCTCTATTTTTACAATTAAAACATTTTTCTACAGTTTGTTTCCAAATATTAACAATACATCATTGTATTTGCTTCTTTGAGTACTTTGGAATGATGGTGAAAAGATGTACTTCAGTTTACAAAATTTAAGAAATGTTAATATCTCAAATATTAAAAACCTTTCAAAAACAAAAACAAAGTATGTTTGGTGCAATGAAATATGTGTGGCTTGGCACAAACCTCATCATGATTTTGAAAATACTTGCTGTGATCAACTTAGATGGTCCACATGCAAAAATTGAAAATATTTCAAATAATGAGAGAAAGTTTGTTCTGCTTTAGCACCATTGTTTTCTATTTCTTTTTTTTTATACAAACACAACTGACATTCTTACCTTCATTGCAGAACTATAATTTTGAAATAAAACTTCTCTTCCTTTTCCTAATATGATATAAGCCTATTTATCGAATTTTATTACCTTCATGTATTCTCTTTTTGCTTCATTATCTTAGGCTTCATAGAGAATTTAAAAACATACAATAGTTTCAAAGAATTCATTTCAACTTTTGAAATAATGATACTTTTATAAAAAGAAAAACACTCATTATTTGTCTTAGGACTCTGGAGAAATGGTGCGCAGTTTTGTGGGAGGCCTTGAATTAATTGTGAGCCTACTGCACTCTGAAGACTCTTCTGTCTTGGCATGTGTGTGTGCAGCATTAGCTCGAATTGCTCAAGATCGAGAAAATTTGGCTGTTATTACAGATCATGGGGTGGTGCCTATGCTTGCTCAACTTGTTCTCACAGTGAGTATTCATTAAATATTATCACCTTTAAAAAACAACATCAATCACATTAACAGGTAAATGAAAAATTGTGGGCACTATGAAATGTTACATGGCAGTTTGACACCTAATAATTTTAGTTTATGAATGAAATGTAAAGAAATTTGTTGTGAAATATAACAAATATTTCTTGAAAATGAAAGCACTAAAATTAATAGCATAGTATTAGTAGAGAAAAACAGGTGTCAAATACTAATAGTTTTTAGATAATAATGTAAATATTTTAACAAGTCAAGTAACTCAAAGGAAACTGATTTCTGAGCTCAGAATGAATATTAATGATATCTGCCCGTGATAAATATATGATTTAACAAAGCATTTTGTGGTCCAAGTGACCAGTGTTGATTCTTACACATTCACAGCATGATGGTATTGTTTATAGTACCAAAAGCATAACCTTAATATAAATTTGCCAATTGTACATATATTGAATTACTGTAGAATATTTAGATATCTTAGATACCACTTGTTTTAATTTTGTTCAATGGATTTTTCTTCATTGTCATCTTCTATTTCTGTCCTTTGTAAAAGACCGGCATTATTGTTAATAAGAGATTAATCAGATGAGAAGAGAAAATTGAATATGTAGTGTTGTACCATTTACAACAGTGTTCCAGCACATCCTTAGGCTACTTTGTGTTTGAGCTGCATGTGTGTGAATGGAGAGCTTTATGTTCCTGCTGTTATTGTAGCTTGCGAGCAAGCAGCAAAAGCACAGGGCAGAAAATGGTTCTGAAGAGAAGAAGGAAAGGAACAGCTGTCCTCATGATGAAAGCAAGTCTAATCAAGAGGTGACATAATCTCCCCAACATCGTGTTTCCTATTTTTTTAATATGTAACAAATTTGTCAATTTATAAAAATTCACTACAGCTCACTTTCTCTTGCACTTTGGTGTGTACATTTTTTGCATGTTTGTAGTTTCTATTTTACTGTACTCTTCTCTACCGAGAGAGCTCATTTTTGTAAAATTATATCTGTAGGTATCTTAATACACATATTCGAGAATGATGACAAAGCACAGGTACTGAGACAACTATAAATTTATAAGTAGTGCAGCTGTGAAATACTTAATATGCTGCAGTTAGTGGATAAGCTTTTGTCAGGTATTTATCAGACATTTACTGTTATCAACTGGTATTTGTTAACTTGTATTTGTAACTGGTAAATGATTTCCCAATGTTAATACAATTGCTAATTAATGCACAATTTAATTTGCTGTATATAGTAAAAATCTTTATTATTAATCTATAATAATATGTAGGTATTGGCTCAGCATAACTCATACACATATACAATTATTTTAATTTTGCCTTAAACTTCAACTTGTGTTTTATAATTTACTTTTTCATTTGTCTTTCATTGAGGAAATCACTGTGTTCATTTCATTTATTGTAGGAGATTAAAATTTTTCACTATCGCTATTTCCATTTTTAATATTCAAATTCTTAAATATTTTTAATTACATCATTTACGACAACTTTTGCTTTCATAAATATTTCTACACATACATACCTGCTCATATTGTAATTGGTGTTTGTAAATATATATTGCCATTTGGCTGTAGACTGCTTCTTTAGAGAGTACCTTGTGTATCAAAGTAGAATATTGAAGACTGCTAATTTTTTGTTGTTGTTCATAAGCCGTATTTGTCACTCAGCTAAAATAAAATGAAAGAAATTTGTAAAACTATTTGTTGAGTGCAGGGGAAGAAAGTAATATACATCTATGTCAAAACTATTAGCCTATTTATTAGCATTTTTAATTACATTACTATTACAGTAAATGCAAATAATAAACACTAAATTAAATAATTTACAAAACATACTGCTAGTTCATAAATTAGACAATATTATATAGTGCTGAAACTTCTGAAAAACATAATAGGGCGCCGTCTTTAAATTATCTAACGCAAATTTGCAGTTATTTCAATATGCCCTGTCCCCCTTGAAATGCACCTTAAAATTCACTTGAATCCCCCTAAATAATTATGAAATGCTTGCGAAAACTATCTATTTACAACAAGTAAAAATTAATTATGTAACAAAAATATTGCATTAAATTAATTTCTATAGTATATTAAAATTTTACTTAAAGTCTGAATTAGTTGGCCAAGGTAGTTTAATTGGATTCTAGAATATACTATGGATCATTTATGTATATATTATTTTTGTAATCTAGTAGATTCAATCAATACACCACTGATGAAAAAATATTTCCATTTTTCATAATAGTTTAAGTCTCATAGTCATAAATATAGTCTTATATAGTCTTTTAGTCAAAGTCTTTTTGCTTTATTCATATTTTTTAATGTAATTGGTGAATATTCTAATGTTTTGATATGAGACTGAATAAAAGGAATTATTTCAGGAAGAGCCTCTGAAAGCATTTCATCATCCAGAACCAATAGTTTACGGCAGTAGGACTGAAAAGAGGAAAGACAATGATAAGAGGATTTAAAAAAATACAAAAGCAGAAAGCACATTAACTATCTTAAAGTTTTGAAACTCAATCAAACAACAATGTGTTAAAAGAGAGAACGATTTCTTTACAATATAATAATAAGTTACTAACACAGAGCAATAAAAAAAAAAGAAAAGTCAATACTTGATACGAAAAGGTTTGTCATCCTTTGTTACAGTAAACAAATTTCAAAACATTTCTTCAAATACAAAAGACAAAATAAATTTTTAAATTCTCAGTGAGGTATATTAACATTGAAAAATGTTACTCAGAAGAGCTGAAATTACTTTCTATTTCAGCAGAAATAAATTTGAAAAAATTGAAAGGATTGGAAAATCATAAATTTTAACAACAGAAAATCCAAATGAGGGGAGTGGGATGAAAATTATTGGAAAGCATCAAAACGGCAACAATGAGTGATGGTAGATACAGAAGGAATGAAAATTCACAAAAAGTAGGAATGGGTAAGAATGAAAGTTGACTGGAGATGTTTAATGAAAGTTGTAGTTTTACCTTATTTCACTAAACATTAAATACACTGAAATAAATACTAGCAGTAAGGAAAATAAATGTAAAAGCTCAATTTACTAAAAAATTGTAGCTACACAAAGAAAGTAACTATGTTTAATACAAGAAACATTAGAATGATACAAAGAATGAAGGTTAAAGAATAATATTTTTATAAATTTTTTATCAAGGATTAGCATTTAAGATGTCGCTGACTTCTAAACTGCTAAGATTTTCTCTAAAGATAATATTGTTAACTTATAATTTCCTTATTGAATGTTACAATTAAATATAGGAATACAAGACACTCAGTAGTTAGGAGAAGACTCTGTATATAATTTAAAACAAAATTTAATAATAATTTTGCTATTTTGTGACCTCCCAATGAATATTATAAAATTGTTTTGATGGAAGGCCTTTTTAAGTTTATTTCTCACCATTGCTGGAGAAATAGTGCTGTTTTACATCAAGAGATGAGAGATATAGTTATTTAAAACATTGTTTCGTTACATAGATGGTTATTTATATCATTGCACATGCTTGCTGCATGATGCTACATACACTATCAGAAGCGTAATGTAGGTATTTAAGCACTCAGGGGAAGCTTAGAATTTGCACCCCAGTTTCGAAACTTCACATTAGAGTTGTTATTTGTTGTAGTGAGTATATTCTAAATAGTGCCCCTTGTGAGTGGCACCCATTGCATATGCCATGTCTGCCATGTAGAAGATATGTCTCTGCTTATTATTTCAACTCTGAGGAAACTTAAAGTAATATAACTGTTATTGTGGCATTAGTAGACAAAAAGAAACTGAGTTTTAATGGACTTACATGGGTATGCACTGAGGGGAGACCAGAGGACCAATGGCTCTCCCTGAAAATTTTGAGGGGAGCCCCATATTATTATGTAATAAAACATTTTATGTCGTTAAACAATGTTCAGCCCTAATTTTCTTTCTTCCCTGACAATTTTGGAAACAGTATGAGACCTGTGGGAAGAGTCCTTCCAAGCAACTGTGTAAATTGGTTTAACATAAAAATAATTTGCTTTATTAAGAGTAACATTAAAGGTATAACTTCATTCTCCTTCTAGTAAGTTTTTATATTTACTGAAATATATCAAATGTAAAATAAAAAAGTACAAAGAAAAAATAGGTCCAAAATTTAGTGTGCTCCATTTTAGGCTGTGCACATGTTGTATGTTTGTTTATACAATCAAAAACGGGCCTGTAAAATTCATTTTCTTGGTATATTTTTGGACTAATACTTAATACATTACATCTTACAATGCTTGTACACTTAACTGCCGGACGTGACAAATTTACACCAGAGACTGTTGATGCAGATTGTCAACA